TGTCTTGCCAGAGGTATGCTTACACTACAGTTATAAAGCTGCAACATTAACACCCTTCCTTCAGAGTGCCAGCATTGTATTTCCCATCTCCAGGAATCAAGTCTGGCCTGCCGGTTTCCCTGAATCCCTTCATAAATGTTACTTTGCTTATACTCCAACAGCACATCAAGTTCTAAAAATCATTTTTCTCCGTTTGCTCCTATCTAACATGCTCACGCACACCTGCTGGAAGTCCAAGCCCCTCGCACACAAAACCTCCTTTACCCCATCCCTCCAACCTTTCCTAGGCCGACCCCTACCCCGCCTTCCCTCCACTACAGATTTATACACTCTCAAAGTCATTCTGTTTCATTCTACCCTCTCTACATGTCCAAACCATCTCAGTAACCCCTCCTCAGCCCTCTGGATAATAGGTTTGGTAATCCAACACCTCCTCCTAGTCTCCAAACTACAGATTCTCTACATTATATTCACACCACACATTGCCCTCAGACATGATATCTCCACTGCCTCCAGCCTTCTCCTTGTTGCAACATTCACAACCCATGCCTCATGCCCATACCTTACACACTGTTTTCAAGAATGTAACTACCATGTTAACTGATGGTCAGCTGTATGTACATCTTAATCATAGGCCCCCTCAGATATGCTGCAAATAAAAGGCATAAAAATTTATTAATATTTAAAAGCACCTATTAAAAACTCGCATTAAGGTTATATCCATTAACTGTCTGTAAATTCTCGTTTCGATTTCACCACCTCAATTCACCCACTCCATAAAATGCAGGTTACTGAACTGGTATAATTTATTTGTAATTGACCAACCCATCATTGCAACATGTCTCATTGTACTTGTGATTGTAATGGATTACAGTGGTACCTCGAGTTATGAACTTAATTCGTTCCAGAAGGCTGTTCGAGTGCCGATACCAAACAAATTTGTTCCCATAAGGAATAATGTAAATTAGATTAGTCCATTTCAGACCCCGTGTCTCATTGTACTTGTGATTGTAATGGATTACAGTGGTACCTTGAGTTACGAACTTAATTTGTTCCAGAAGGCTGTTCGAGTGCTGATACCAAACGAATTTGTTCCCATAAGGAATAATGTAAATTAGATTAGTTTGTTTCAGACCCCCAAAAATACACTTACAAAAGCACTTACCAAAATACACTTACATAATTGTTCAAGTTGGGAGCTGTTTGAAACTCGAGGTACTGCTGTACTTCAGCTGTACTTATACTCAACAATTTATAACAGGTCTAAATTTAATGAGTATGTAAGCTTTATGATTAATTTGTCCAACTGATCCTTCAGTTGTATTAAATTACGTATATCCATATTATAATAAAATTAAAATAAAAACTATTGATTTGAATGTACAGTGGACCCTCGCCTAATGAACGCATCGCATAACGTTAAATCCGCCTAGCGATACATTTTAACGCAAAAATTTTGCCTCGGCTAGCGCTAAAAAACTCACCCAACGCGATTCGTTCCATTCGAGACGCGTCCACATGTGGCCTGAGCCCAGTGTTTACAAACTAGCCAAGAAAGCTTCTAGTGCCAACCCTGCGATAAAAAGGGTGAGAATTAGTATGGAAATTAAGAAAGATTTTGAAGGGTTTGGGGCTAACCCTGAGATGCCTGTGCCAGTTGTGGAATCCATTGTGCTTACTTCAAAGATTAAGGAAATGTGTGCAAAGTGGGTTGAACTGCAAACCTTTATGGATGAAAATCACCCTAACACAGCTATTGCAAGCCGTGCTGGTGACTATTACAATGACAATGTTATGGCCCATTTTAGACAAATCTTAAAGGAACTGGAGGTACAGAGCTCTGTGGACAGATATGTTGTGCGACAGAGGTCTAGTGACTCAAGCTGGTCCTAGTGGCATTAAAAGAAGGGAAGTAACCCCGGAAAAGAACTTGACACCTTAAGTCCTAATGGAAGGGGATTCCCCTTCTAAACATTAACACCATCCACACTCTCCCCTCCTTCCATCCCATCACTCATCACCAGATCTTCAATAAAGGTAAGTGTCATGTAATTGTACATGTCTTCTTCAGTTTGTGTGTATTAAAATTAATATTTCATGTGGTAAAATTTTTTTTTTCATACTTTGGGGTGTCAGGAACGGATTAATTTGATTTCCATTATTTCTTATGGGGAAAATTAATTCGGATAACGATAATTTTGCCTTACATTGAGTTCTCAGGAACGGATTAATATCATTAGGCGAGGGTCCACTGTATAATTATTGTAACTTCTTGCTATGACTCATAAAAAATAATTTTTTATTTTACTTTTATACTTTAATGTTAAATCAGAGAATATTAAATCAAAATTTTACTTTGTCAGTTGGATTATTACACCTCAGTATTTATTATATATATATTTTTGCAGTTTCAATAATGATTGCTTCCCAAGAATTTCCTCAAAAGGTAACATGACTGTGCAGGCCTACATAAAATGTTAAATGTTTTATACAGTACTAGAAGTACATATATTCCTCAACATTATTCCCTGAAGTTGACTTATTCCAAGAATGATATACTACAGGTGTTTATTATTGAAAGAATTGGGAAATTTTTAACCTTTTTAACCCTCTGAGGATGGGTCCTGTTGTTCTGTGGCTTTGAAGCCCGGGTCAGTCCGCTAGTTCTATGTCATGAGCTCAGCTCACTCAAATAAGCTGTGAGTGGTAAATTTGGGCCTAGATTTGAGAGAATGGGTCTGTGGTAAGTGTGTATTATACAAAAAAAATCCTGCAGCAGGCAGTGTGTAATGGAGGTAAAAAACTGCAACAGTTTTTGGTTTAAAGCAGTGATTTAGAGGTATATATTTGTATGTTTTTTATAGTTGCATTCTCGGTTTCTTGGTTTCAGTTGATAGAATGGAAGATATGTTACAGAAACAGAGATGATTTTGATTGGTTTTGGGACCGAAAGAAACTTGAAATTGAGTTCAAATTAGTAGAAACGTTTGATTTTTGCCAATATTATAATACGTGTCCATCTGACCAGTCTAATACACTTTTAGGAATGCACTGACATTATTTATACAATTATTACAATAATGAACTGGTCTGCATAACAGTAAATTTTATATTTTTTTGTGAATAAAAAGTCTAAATGGAATTCATGTGTAATATTGGAGAGACCTGGGAATATAACTGATGAACACAGAAAATGTTATTTTGGTGCCAGGAATTATTATTATTTATTTATTATCACACTGGCCGATTCCCACCAAGGCAGGGTGGCCCGAAAAAGAAAAACTTTCACCATCATTCACTCCATCACTGTCTTGCCAGAAGGGTGCTTTACACTACAGTTTTTAAACTGCAACATTAACACCCCTCCTTCAGAGTGCAGGCACTGTACTTCCCATCTCCAGGACTCAAGTCCAGCCTGCCGGTTTCCCTGAACCCCTTCATAAATGTTACTTTGCTCACACTCCAACAGCACGTCAAGTATTAAAAACCATTTGTCTCCATTCACTCCTATCAAACATGCTCACGCATGCCTGCTGGAAGTCCAAGCCCCTCGCACACAAAACCTCCTTTACCCCCTCCCTCCAACCTTTCCTAGGCCGACCCCTACCCCGCCTTCCTTCCACTACAGACTGATACACTCTTGAAGTTATTCTGTTTCGCTCCATTCTCTCCACATGTCCGAACCACCTCAACAACCCTTCCTCAGCCCTCTGGACAACAGTTTTGGTAATCCCGCACCTCCTTCTAACTTCCAAACTACGAATTCTCTGCATTATATTCACACCACACATTGCTCTCAGACATGACATCTCCACTGCCTCCAGCCTTCTCCTCACTGCAACATTCATTACCCATGCTTCACACCCATATAGGGGCTCTGGTGGCCTGGTGGTTAACGCTCTCGCTTCACACGGCGAGGGCCTGGGTTCGATTCCCAGCCAGAGTAGAAACATTGGGCGTGTTTCTTTCCACCTGTTGTCTATGTTCCCCATCAGTAAAATGGGTACCTGGGTGTTAGTCGACTGGTGTGGGTCGCATCCAGGGACACTGACCTAATTTGCCCGAGATGCTCAGCATAACAAGTGGCTTTCTATCTAGTAGTATGTCATTGTTGTCAGCTAGGACTGTATACCATGTACATGCACTTGTAGTAAATAAAGATTATTATATAAGAGCGTTGGTAAAACTATACTCTCATACATTCCCCTCTTTGCCTCCAAGGACAAAGTTCTTTGTCTCCACAGACTCCTAAGTGCACCACTCACCCTTTTCCCCTCATCATTCTATGATTCACCTCATCTTTCATAGACCCATCCGCTGACACGTCCACTCCCAAATATCTGAATACATTCACCTCCTCCATACTCTCTCCCTCCAATCTGATATCCAATCTTTCATCACCTAATCTTTTTGTTATCCTCATAACCTTACTCTTTCCCGTATTCACTTTCAATTTTCTTCTTTTGCACACCCTACCAAATTCATCCACCAATCTCTGTAACTTCTCTTCAGAATCTGCCAGGAATGTCAGCACTATTTATTCTGGACCCTATTTTGAAATTGGTATTTCTTGAATTTTTTGGTGAAATTAGCCTAATTACCAAATTCTGATGACTTTACTGAGTAGTGGAAATAGCTGAATGGGCAGTTTCTTGTACTCAGTCAATAGAGTGGAAGGCATACTAGCGATATAGCTAAGAATTTGGGGACTGTAATATAATTGGCCTAAACTCTGACTCAAAGTGGGCAAAATCGCTAATGTGTAAATATCGCTGACACAGCAAAATTCACAAAAGCCTAATTTCGTCAGTTTTTTTCCATCAAATTTGGTACTTTTTGTTTTTTTACCTTCAGAAAAAGATTCTTTACCATTTCATAAGAAGAAGCTTTTTTTTTTTTTTTTTAAATTTTCTGACCTTAAGAGCAAGTTTGAGAATGAGGGTCCTGACCCTCAGAGGGTTAAAATGACTTACTACATTGTAAATAAAAAAATATTTCAGGTCGTATGGTTATATTCCTTGGTGGTAAGGCTTCTGGCTTCAAGAATGTTCACGATCATGACACATATGATGTTGATGGCACAAGACTCTTCCAGGTAAGCACTATTTAATTATGAACCTCTATCAAAGTTAAAATTATTGCTCTTCAGTGTTCAGTACTTTTATTTGAGTTTATGAATGATACACCATATAACTTGACACAATATGGGTACAACAGTAATAAAAATTATATAATAATTTTAAGTGCTAAACCTAAAGTATTATTAGTTACTACCAAATGGTAGGTAAATCTGACTACTGTAACTTTTGTGTATGGTCTATTGAAAGAAATCTTTTAATTTTATTTTCTATTTTTATCTTTGAGGATCCATATGCATCTGCTGCTTTATTACTTTATTTACTTAATTGTAAGTAAAGCAGAGTATTAAATCATATAAGCTATGTAAACAAAATACAGTGGAACCTCAAATATCGAACTTTCTTCAGTCCAGAAGACTGTTCGAGTTCCTTTACCGAATGAATTTATTCTCATCAGGAATATTGTAAATTAGATTAGTCCATTTCAGACCCTCAAAAATACACTTATAAAAGCACTTACAAAAATACACTTACATAATTGGTTGTGTTGGGAGCAGTTCAATTTTTGAGGTTCCACTGTACTATAGCTTGGAAATATGTTTGTTATTATTGGTAATTATACATGCTATAAATGTTTTGGGCAAATGTTTCAGGTGCGTGGAACATGTGACTTTGACACACGTGCTGTCCAGCTGCCAGAGAAGGCTAGCTCACTCAACTCCGATGATGCCTTTGTTCTGGAGACTCCAGGCAAAACTTACCTCTGGATTGGCAAGGTTTGCAAACCTGTTTCTACAATTTTTGTTTCTTATGATTGTTACAAATTAACGTTGTTTAAGAACAGTCAGTATGTGTGAAAGAATCAAAGTAGTTAGAGAAGAGTTGAATTTTGTTTTTGTTGACCTTTGGTTTTGGTGTTTTCCTGTTTTTTGCACCTTTCATTGTTTATTAAGTATGCTGAGCTCAGCTGCAGCCACACCAACTTTAGCACACTAGCATCGTTACTGAGAGCTGACAGTATTATGAATAATGCACCTTGCAGGAGGCACCAGGCTACACATACATTTATCTCTTACTGTGAACATGGAAAAGGAAAATTTTTATAATTAATACACATATACATTCTAATCTGTTTTTCATGGAGTATAATTATTCTCTTGCACTGACTGTTTTTAAGGATGTAGTGCTTGTAAGAGGTGAAGATGGTGATATCCAAGTATTCATGCAATCGTAGACATGAATCAACATATTAATGCAATGACTTATTGTAATGAAACACAGCAAAACAAATTTAAGACAATTCTTCAACCAGTACTGATTTAGAATAATGATTTGTGGATAGATATTATTATGATGGTTTTATTGTATTTAAATGGTGTATGTTTTGACTATGTAGGGAGCAAGTGAAGAGGAGAAGAGCATGGGTGAGAAGGTAGCAGAGCTGGTGTCTCCGGGCCATGAACTGGAGGTATGCACATCAATGTTTGTCATATTCATCACCTTTGTAGTAAATTTTTGGTAAAACCTAAAATTTCAGGAAAATCTTATATTCAAAGTACCTTATCTTCAGCAGGGAATATAAGTTATTTGATACCTTACAAGAAGAAGAATTACAAAACAAAATTAATGTTTCAATGCTCTCTTCCTTTTTCATTAATTTCTGGTTTCATATTTTTAAGCTTTTAATTTAACATGTTCTGTACAGTTAAAATTTGTGAATCTAAGAGGTTAAGTTATATCAGTGCACTTTAAAACATAATGAATTTTCACAAAATATGACAAATACAGTAGAAAGTAATTTTCTTCTTGTCTCAAATGATGGGAAAATATGTCTTGAGATTAGAGTCTAGAACATTACCTTTCATTTAATGTCTCAAGGAATGATAATGCTGCACCCATGCTCTATATTATTATGGTCTAAACAAGGTGGTCGCTGAAGGAGAAGAGAGTGATGACTTCTGGGCTGGTCTCGGTGGCAAGGGTGAATACCAAACTGTTCGTGATCTGGACAAACCTCTGCTGTACCCCAGACTCTTCCACTGTACTATCTCTCCTGCTGGCTGCCTCAGAGTCAATGAGGTGTCCTACTTCTCCCAGGAGGTGAGTAGATATCACCAAAATATTTTTTAGTTTGATACCTGCCTTTATGTACAGTATGTATATTAATATGTCAGCAGAATCTACTTTAAATAAGGCACCACAATAGGCTACAGTGAATCAGATAATACTGTTTAAAAGGGGTATTATGAATTACAAAAAACTCATCATAGTAGAGCATAATCTGTGCTTATATCAGCTACTGCGAAAAAGTTGTAGGACAAGCCAAGTATCATAAGTACATACATTAACTTTCTGTCACTTTATCCCTACAGGACCTGAATGAGGATGACGTTATGGTTTTGGACTCTGGTGATGAAATATACGTTTGGGTAGGACAAGGCTCTGATGACCAGGAAAAAGAGAAAGCCTTCGCTATGGCAGAGGTAAGATAGGTTCTTTTATGTCTCTCTTTATCGGTTTCTGATTACCTCTTGTAATTGTCATAGTGCAGTGTAATTAGACATACTTCCATTACAGAAATTATACATCAGTATACACAGATTAAACTGAACAAATACAACTACTCTGTATCCTTGTGAGATGTAAAGCCATAAAATAGAATCCAAATTATGTACACCCTCAATATGTTTACAGTAGGCCTACAACTTATAATGTTAATTTAGGAATTTTTTTGTAAGTTGAATATTTAAGAACATAAGAACATAAGAACGAAGGAACACTGCAGAAGGCCTACTGGCCCATGCGAGGCAGGTCCAAGTCTCCTACCGGCTTAAGCCAATGCACCCAACCTAGTCAGGTCAGGTCACATTGACTTAAGGGAGGAACACGGCAACCGACCTGGTAGCACAAGCTATCAGGTCTAATTCACACCCACCCACATCTACTCATGTATTTATCCAACCTATTTTTAAAGCTACACAACGTTCTGGCATCTATAACGGTACTTGGGAGTTTGTTCCACTCATCCACAACTCTATTACCAAACCAGTACTTTCCTATATCCTTCCTGAATCTGAATTTTTCCAACTTAAAACCATTGCTGCGAGTCCTGTCTAGGCTAGATATTTTCAGCACACTATTTACATCCCCTTTATTTATTCCTGTCTTCCATTTATACACCTCAATCATATCCCCCCTAATTCTACGTCTTTCTAGAGAGTGCAGTTTCAGGGCCCTTAGTCTATCCTCATAGGGAAGGTTTCTGATACATGGGATCAACTTTGTCATCCTCCTTTGTACATTTTCCAGAGAATTTATATCCATTCTGTAATACGGTGACCAAAACTGTGCAGCATAATCTAAATGAGGCCTAACCAAGGATGTATAGAGTTGAAGAACAACCTGAGGACTCCTATTATTTATACTTCTTGATATGAAGCCAAGGATTCTATTAGCTTTATTGCGAACACTTATGCACTGTTGTCTTGGTTTCAGATTACTGCTAACCAGAACTCCTAAATCTTTTTCGCAATCCGTAATATTAAGATCTACATTATTTAGTTTATATGTGGCATGGTTATTGTCCTGTCCAACATTTAGAACTTTGCATTTGTCTATATTAAACTGCATCTGGCACTTCTCCGACCACTGCATCAGCCTATTCAAATCTTCCTGGAGTGCTCGAATGTCCTCGTCAGAATGAATTCGACGGCCTATTTTGGTGTCATCGGCAAACTTGCCGATGTCGCTCTTTATGCCCTCATCTATGTCGTTTATGTAGATTGTGAACAGCAGGGGGCCCAACACTGACCCCTGTGGAACACCGCTCGTGACACTTCCCCACTCTGATTTCTCCCCATTTATGCAAACTCTCTGCTGCCTATTTGTCAACCATGCCTCTATCCAGGAAAAAATTTCTCCTCCTATTCCATGTGCTTTAATTTTCCTCAATAGTCTCTGATGTGGGACCCTGTCAAAAGCCTTACTGAAGTCCATATACACAATATCATATTCATTACCATGATCTACCTCTTCAAATACCTTAGTGAAAAAAGTTAATAAATTCGTAAGGCAGGAACGCCCCTTTGTAAAACCATGCTGAGATTCGTTGATTAATTTATGCTTTTCAAGGTGGCTACGAACTGCCTCGGCAATTATTGATTCCATAAATTTTCCCACTATGGAGGTTAGGCTTATTGGTCTATAGTTCGAAGCTAAGGACCTGTCACCTGTTTTGAAAATAGTTATCACATTTGCCATTTTCCACTTATCTGGCACCATGCCAGTTTGTAGTGATATGTTGAAAAGATTAGCCAAAGGTGTGCTAAGCTCCTCTTTACATTCCTTTAGAACCCTTGCATACAGTTCATCAGGGCCTGGGGATTTGTTAGGTTTTAATTTATCTATTTGTCTAAGGACCATGTCACTTGTGACCCTAATAGTGCACAGTTTATTATCGTCCTGTTCTACATAATTTATCATTACTGGAATATCGCTGGTATCCTCCTGTGTAAAAACTGAGAGGAAGTATGTGTTAAAAATTCTACACATTTCCTTATCACTGTCAGTGAGCTGACCCGAGGAACTTTTGAGTGGCCTATCTTGTCCCTGATCTTACTTCTGTATACCTGAAAGAATCCTTTGGGTTAGTCTTCGATTCTCTTGCAACTTTAACCTCATAATCTCTTTTTGCTTTTCTAATTCCCTTTTTTATTTCTCTCTTTAACTGAATATATCGATTTCTCAATTGCCCCTCTCCTCTTTTGATTTGCCTATATATGCCTCTCTTTTGACCATCAGATATTTTAATCTATTGTTCATCCATTTAGGATCATTTTTGTTTGATCTGATTTCCCTATTTGGAACATAATTTGACTGAGCAGCTAGAACTATGCCCTGGAAAGCATCATATCGGCAACCATCACCACCTACCTGACCCTTAGTCAGGTCATTCCAGTTCAGCCCACCTAAGTAATTTTTCAGTCCTATGAAATCAGCCAAGCGAAAGTCAGGGACGGAGACTTGATTGCCATTATTAGGGGAATTCCATGATATATTAAAACTGAGTGATTTGTGATCACTTTTCCCCCAAGCTCGTCATTAACCTCAAGATTATTAATTAGTGTTTCCCTACTGGCAAGAACCAAGTCAAGGAGGTTATTTCCCCTAGTTGGCTCTGTCACAAACTGTTTTAAAAAACAATCCTGATCGTATCAAGAAAGTCACCTGACTCTAAATTTCCTGTCAAATTGCTCCAGTCAATCTGTCTATAGTTGAAATCTCCCATTAGCACAACATTTTGTATGTAGATGCCTTACGAATTTCGTCCCATAGAAGTTTACTGCACTCCCTATCAAGATTTGGGGCCCTGTAAATCACACCCAAAATTAGTTTTTCTCGCCCTCGAGAAGCTGTAACCAAACAGATTCAGTGGCTGACGCTTCTAATTTAATATCTTGTCTAACACAACAATTTAAATTGTCTCTGACATACATCGCTACTTCCACCACACCTTTCCTGTTGACCCTGTCAGTGTGGAATAATTTATAGCCTTGTATGTGACATTCAGAGGGCATCTCTCTATCTTTCAGATTGAGCCAGGTCTCTGTTATAGCAATAATATCTATGTTTCCTGCACTTGCAATTAATCTTAGCTCATCTATCTTATTTCTACACTCCTGCTATTAGTATAGTAAACCTTAAGGGAGCTAGTCCCTTGTGCCCTCTGCTGTCCCCCTTTGTTTGCTGACCTGATCTATTGTCTTTATTTATAACTTCATGCTGAATGCCTTTTATACATTTACTGTTTCCAACCCAGTGTTGCAACCTGCTTGTTTCCCACACACACCCATACCTCTATCTTCCATCAGTTTAAAATCATAGGCATTTCACCAATGGCCTTCTCAATCGAGTCTGCCAGTGCTACCACCCCAGCCCCAGAGAGATGTACCCCATCCCTTGCATACATATCATGTTTGCCATAAAAGTTGTTCCAGTTGTCAATGAATGGGATTGCAAGTTCCTTGCAGTATCTGTCTAGCCAGCAATTTACACCAATTGCCCTAGACAACCATTCATTTCCTACTCCCCTTCTAGGCAAGATGCTACATATGATTGGGATCCCTCCCTTAGACTTAATGAAATCTATAGCTGACCTGTACTTATCTAGCAGCTCTTCTCTCCTACCCTTCCCAATATCATTTCCACCAGCACTGAGACAGATAATGGGCTTGTTCCCATTACCTGACATGATATTATCCAGCCTTTGACAATGTCCCCAACACCAGCTCCAGGGAAGCACACTCTATCTCTCATCTTCTTATTCCTATTACAAAAAGCACGGTCAATGTATCTTACCTGAGAGTCACCAACCACAAGAATGCGCTTACCTCCATTAGCAGGGGCAGTAGTACCCTTACCTTCACTGGCCACTGAAGTACATTCATCCTGAAGAACAGAGAAGCGATTTCCTACCTTCAAGTCTTCACTCTTAACTTTCCTTACTCTGATGCGCCTTCCATTACTGTGAACCACTCGCCACTTGTAGCAGGTGCTGGACTGCACCTCACTGCTGGTAGCCGTTGCTACCTCCCCACCTACAGCCTCCTCACAGCGAGAGACAGACTGCACCTCACTTGAAGCCTCATTCCCCACAACTCCAGCCACCTCACACTCTCTCCCAGACCCATTGAGGTGGACCTTCAGCCTCCTAATCTCCTCCTGGAGAAGCAAGACCTCCTCCTTCAACTCTCCAACCTCAATTTTTAAAACACTGCAGAAGCAAGCCATGCTTTGTAACCGTCCACACTAATCCCCAAAGCAGCTCAGGGTCTGTGACCTCACGTGACGACTGAGGCACCCATGTTATACTTGGAGATTTATTCCTGAGATTTAGTCCTAATGCAGTAGTTTTCAGTTATACCCATTCTTCATTAATTCAGACTTCCTACTATAAATATATTCACCACTCGCTATAAGCTAAGGATGAAAATATTTTAATGTGTTGTATATGCATTTTCTAGGCCTAGTTCTGTTGCTCACTTAATATATGATAGTGTAAACATTTTATCAGGCTTTTAAACATTTTATCAGGCTTTTATATGCAATTGAAATTGATAAAAAGACTAAGTTTCACTGTAGAACGATTTTCACTTTACAGCGGTAGCCTGGAACATAACCTGCTGTATAAGCGAGGGCCTCCTGTATATGAGCTAATTAAACAGAACAAGAGCTACAGTATATACAGCACAGTACAGTTCAGATGTATAAAGAGAGGGTTATTATTATACTCATTAAATGTACCAAACCAGCTTTTTTTTTTTTTTTTGGTTTTAGATGATTTTACATAGTAGATCTCCAAGCACAAATATCATAGGTGAGATAAGGATATATTAGAGAGTAGTACAATGTAAGTAGTGTTGTTTGAGGTACACAGTAGTGGGTGAAAGGTGTATTTATGAGGTAATAAGGAAAGTCAAATTTGGCATAAATCAGTGGGAACAAAGACACTGGTAGCAGAGAATCCTTTTAACACTGTGATTTACCCAGCCTTGGATGATGGCTGGTAGACAGTGGCTTTTGCTATTGTCTGTCAGCATCAAGTTAAGAGTCACAGTGTGTGGCTCCATTGAAGGATGAACTTTCTGAAAGTAGAGCAGGGAAAATGATGGCTCCCAAGTGCTGAAAAAGATTTGTGCTCTTTGATTATTAGTCAATCAAATGGTGTTTTGACTGTCACCAAGACATAATATATTTCACTGAGGCATCAACTGTCTCTCCAGTCATGTGGGAACCGCTTCCTAAATAGGACAGTGATGAGAAGTTGACCAAGATCTTAACTGTGCTTTGATTAATAACATCCAGGTGTCCTCTAGCCTGCACTAACAACATTGTTGCCAACAGAGAAAGAGAGGGGAAAAGAGGGCTACATGTAGTATTGGAAAATTGGCAACTGTGTGAAGGAGAGTGCAGCAAGAGCACCTGCTAATCTTTATCTCACCCACTGAACATATCCAGTATGCAGGAGCAGCAGCTACCATAGTCCAACTAAACAGTATACACTATACAGCCTCTCCTCACTTAGTGTACTCATTTACTGATGACTCAGACTTGGCTTTCTGACCAGTGTGCATACCTATTCAATCTATTACAATATATAGTACACTGAGAGAGTTAGAGCTAAGGAAGGGGTAGCAATAATGTTGAAGGATCAATTATGAAAGGAGAAGAGGGAATATAAATATATAAATTCAAGGATTATGTGGGTTAAAATAAGGGTTGGATGCAAAAAATGGGTCATAATAAGTGTGTATGCACCTGGAGAAGAGAGGAGTGTAGAGGAGAGAGAAAGATTTTGGGATATGTTAAGCGAGTGTGTAGGGACTTTTGAATCAAGTGAAAGAGTAATTGTGGTAGGTGACCTAAATGCTAAAGTAGGAGAAATATTTAAAGAGGGTGTGGTAGGTAAGTTTGGGGTGCCAGGTATAAATGATAATGGGAGCCCTTTGATTGAACTTTGTATAGAAAGGGGTTTGGTTATAGGTAATATGTATTTTAAGAAAAAGAGGATAAATAATTGTACAAGATACAATGTAGGGCATAATGAGAGTAGTTTGTTGGAATATGTATTGGTAGATAAAAGACTGTTAGGTAGACTTCAAGATGTACATGTCTATAGAGGGGCCACAGATATATTAGATCACTTTTTAGTTGTAGCTGCAGTGAAAGTAAAAGGTAGATGGGATACAAGGAAAATGGAAGCAGCAGGTAAGAGAGAGGTGAAGGTTTATAAGCTACAGAATATACAATTACAGCACTCACATATTCAAAACATAAGCCTGCATACCCCTTACTTTTTCCTTAACAGCCCATGGTGCATTCAACAAGCCCTTCCTCTTTTTGACTAAACCTGGGTTAACCAGTGTCTTGACAACTTTGTCACCCGGGGTATGAGGCCCAAAACTTAATTATAAAAACCCCCCCTGGAGCACCATAAGCCAAAAAAATTAAAGAAGGACCCAGGGGTTCCTCCATTTTAAGTCAAAAAAAAAAAGTCAGAGAGAGGGAGGGGCCAGCTAAGCTCCTCCCACACCCAAAAAAACACAATTTCCCAAACAAATTCTCCCTTACCAAATTTACCACACCTTAATTTTACTTTTACAAAAAGAAATACAACTTTATAAACTACTTACTTAAATTGTGTGAGTGTGTGTCTATAGTATAACCTATTATATTGAGAAAAACAGGCTTGACTCAGCTGCCTTACAGCCATAAGAGTGATCTGCCCTTATGACATTTAGAGCTGAGTCCCCATCAATTCAATATAATTAGGTATTCCAGAGTAACTGTAACTTATAAATACATGTTGGGTCCTATAACCCCATAATAAGCACATATCCAATTCCCTAGATCAAGAGCCCCTCACCAGCATCAAGGTTCCTTGACACTGGTGAGGGTCTCTTGATCTAGGGAATTGGATATGTGCTCTTGTTCCCTAAATTAATAATAATAACAATAATAATAATAATGATAATTATAATACTACTAATAATAATAATGATAGAGCTTCAGTTCCCTAAATTATCAATAATAATAATAATAATAATTATAATTATTGCAATAATGATAGAGCAACAGTTCCCTAAATTAATAATAATAATAATATGTGCTCTTGTTCCCTAAATTAATAATAATAATTATAATTAGAATGATAGAGCTTCAGTTCCCGAAATTATCAATAATAATAATTATAATTATTGCAATAATGATAGACCTTCAGTTCCCTAAATTAATAATAATAATAATTATTATTATAATAATGATAGAGCTTCAGTTCTCTAAATTATCAATAATAATAATAATTATAATTACAATAACAATAGAGCTTCAGTTCCCTAAATTAACCCTTTCAGGGTCGACAGGCCCTCTCAGAGACTTGTTCTCAGGGTCGGCCAAATTTCAAAAAAAAAAAAAAAATTATGAAAAGATAGAAAATCTTTTCCCGGTCATAATGACACCAAAAGTATGAAATTTGATGGAAAACTTACAGAATTATGCTCTCACAAAGTTAGCGGTCTCGACGATGTTTACGCATCGGCGATTTTGCCCACTTTGAGCCCTATTTTTGGCCAATTCCAGTGTACTTGTAGACAAAAATCATAACTATTTCGCTAGAACTCCATTTTTCTATCGAATGAGTACAAGAAACCACCCATTTACCGATTTCAACTATCCAATACAGTGGTCAGAATTTAGCAATTTTGCCAATTTCACACAAATTTCAAAAATAACATTTCCTCTGTTCATTAGTCACGTTCCCATGCCCCTCTTACATTCTTTTGCTTTCCACTTTGAATTCATTCTCACAAAAAAATAGAAGATTTACTGTTATGCAGACTACTGCATTGGTGTAGAAACGGTATAAATAATATCAGCGCATTTGTGAAAGAATATTAGACTCACCAGTTGACGTGTATTGGACGCTTAGCATGATTTGTTTACTTTTGAACTTTGGTAAAAATCGAACATTTCTGCTACTTTGAGTGCAATTTCAAGGTAGTTTTCTTTGTAAACCAGTCAAAATCATATCAATTTCTGTAATATGTCCTCCATTCTATAAAATGAGACCAGGAAAACTAGAATACAACAATAAATACCATACGAAAATACAGTGCAAAGTCGCTGTTTTAATCCAAAAACACGGTCAAAGTTTTTTTTTCCTCATTACACACTGTGTGCTGCAGAATTTTTTTTTTATACTGCGCACACTGACCACATAGACCCATTCTTTCATATGTAGGCCTACCAGCTTTCACTAGATTTGAGGGCGCTAGAATTTAGGCGTACTAGTACGTCAAAAACCCTGGTGCGTAAGCTGTACTAGTACGTCCGAAACCCTGAAAGGGTTAAAATACCAGTGGATTTGGTATAAAACTAACAGAGAAAATATTTATAATTAACCCTTAGGAAAATTAAATACAGTATTAAATATATAGTCCCTAACCAATCTGTACTAAACAAGTGTAAGTTCTCTTCATATACATAAGATGAATACACACAAAATACATATTTATGTATTTGGTAAAACAACTGAGAAAAATTATTTAATTAAAATAATTTCTATTAAATATTTATAATGATGATAATGATACTGGCACTTTAGTTCCAAAGTGCCAATATCATTAGTGGGGAACAGTGCAGACTAGAACATCATAAATATGGACCCTACTGTATTAGAAAACTGCAAAAGGATAAATATTGTTAAGTGACCCTACATGCATGCAGCATGATGAAGGCTTAATCTATAACATAATTAATGTGATGCATCCTATTTCTGTACCACAGAATTACATTAAGACTGATCCAACTGAGCGTACACTGGACTCCACTGTAATCCTACGTATCAACCAGGGAGAGGAGCCAGCTGCCTTCACTGCCATCTTCCCTTCATGGAACCAAGATATGTGGCAAGTAAGTGTGTATGAAAAAATGTATTACAATAGGAATCCAGTATGAGAGTTTGTCATACTGAATGCTATGTATGTCCTAAGAGTACAGTATGTGTGTATCTGTTGTTGTTGCATACAAAATAGAAGCTAGTGATAATGCAACATTTATTAGTAGGTGAATTGCATTTGAAATTTTTAGCTGTTTATGTAAGGAATGATGAAAGCGACATGTATTATAGGATATTGTTCAGCATGTTTGTACAGCAAAATATGTATTCTTGTTTAACATCAGAGTTGAGGAATTATTTTAAAATATAAGTAGCGTTTAAGTAAAATAAGCTAATAATAAATATATAAATAATCTATTACAGTGAATGTGGTACAGTAGATCTAGAGGTTAATCTGTTGATGAGAATATTACTCAAAACTAATGTTGGTACAGAGAGACAATATGCAGTGTTTACATAACTTTCTTCTAATACTATCTAGGTCCTTAATATTATATTGATAGGCTGTTATACACCAAACAAATATCTTAAATTGAATTTCAACAATATTTTTATATTGAGTTAATTCAGGGGTTTATAGAAGAATTTCGCTCTTAATGATTTTGACCTATCTTTGCATTATTTGTGATTGAGAAGGTGTGAAAATTCTATGTAATTAAGAATAAACATCTAATTCAATTTTAAAACACAACAGTTCTTGGCTAGTTTAACAATAAAAATTTTGTCACCCCTCCAAGATCTGTTCTGGTAAGAGCAGATGTTATCATATTGTATGTTTGTATTATGGGTAGTTCAATAGAACATAGATACATTAGTACTCAATTCTAAATAAGTTTTGTTTTGAGGATAGAGGAGGAGATGGAAGTAAAATTATTTTGTTAGCTAGCTTATTTAAAATATGTAATTTGTAAATATTAGTGATAATTGACAATGAAAGTAGAAGGAAAGTTCTTAATTACCATTTAATTTACTAAAATATCAGTAGTGCACAACTTATGCGTTGTTAGGCATACATCAAGTAATATCCATGCTGAAGACTGTGGGATGGAGTAATGTGTTCAGTCAGACTGTGGGATGGAGTAGTGTGTTCAGTCAGACTGTGGGATGGAGTAGTGTGTTCAGTCAGACTGTAGGATGGAGTAGTGTGTTCAGTCAGACTGGGATGGAGTAGTGTGTTCAGACTGTGGGATGGAGTAGTGTTCAGATTGTGGGATGTAGTGTGTTTAATCAGACTGTGAGATGGAGTAGTGTGTTCAGTCAGACTGTAAGTTGGAGTAGTGTTTTCAGCTTAACTGTTGAATGAACTTGAATTTTTAGATTTCAGTAAAATTTGTCAGGAGTGGAGATTGGTGCCAAGGAATGAAGGGGGTATGATTTTAAGAATATATGTGCAGAGGGTGGTAAAGGAAAAAATCCATGTATCAGTGATATACAGAAGCCAGAGTATAATGGAGAGAAGAAAAAAGGTTGACAGTAGTGAGAGAGTGCTCAAGGAAAGCCAGTAAGAGAATGGGTGAGTCTTTATCAGCAAATTTTGCTGGGGAGCAAAGGGACCTAGCAGTTAAAAATAAGAGTTAAATGGGGAAGTGGATGTACTGAAAAGATGGGGGGAATATTTTAAGTTGTTAAATGTTGATGATGAAAGGGAGGCAGTGATTTTTTGTGTTGGGCAGGGAGGAATACCTGCTTATAGGAGCAAGGAAGAGGCAGAGATGGTTGTGGGGAAAGTGCATAAGCAGTGGATAAAATGAAAGAGGTTACGCATCTGTGGCAAATGGGATTAAGACTAAGTTATTAAAAGCAGTAGTTGATCTATTTGTTCATTATATGCATGAAAGGTAAGATACCTTATGATTGGCAGAGAGCATGAGTAGTTCTTTTATATAGGGTAAAAAGGAGATAAAAAGTGTTAAAAAAAATCTGTTGAGTTTATCAAGTAAAATTTTTTTTTTTTTTTTTTCAACAAGTCGGCCGTCTCCCACCGAGGCAGGGTGACCCAAAAAAGAAAGAAAATCGCCAAAAAGAAAATGCTTTCATCATCATTCAACACTTTCACCACACTCACACATTATCACTGTTTTTGCAGAGGTGCTCAGAATACAACAGTTTAGAAGCATATACGTATAAAGATACACAACATATCCCTCCAAACGGCCAATATCCCAAACCACTCCTTTAAAGTGCAGGCATTGTACTTCCCATTTCCAGGACTCAAGTCCGACTATATGAAAATAACCGGTTTCCCTGAATCCCTTCACTAAATATTACCCTGCTCACACTCCAACAGATCGTCAGGTCCCAAGTATCATTCGTCTTCATTCACTCCTATCTAACACGCTCATGCACGCTTGCTGGAAGTCCAAGCCCCTCGCCCACAAAACCTCCTTTACCCCCTCTCTCCAACCTTTTCGAGGATGACCGCTACCCTTCCTTCCTTCCTTCCCCTATTGATTTATATGCTTTCCATGTCATTCTACTTTGATCCATTCTCTCTAAATGACCAAACCACCTCAACAACCCCTCTTCTGCCCTCTGACTAATGCTTTAATTAACTCCACACCTTCTCCTAATTTCCACACTCCAAATTTTCTGCATAATATTTACACCACACATTGCCCTTAGACAGGACATCTCCACTGCCTCCAACCGTCTCCTCGCTGCTGCATTTACCACCCAAGCTTCACATCCATATAAGAGTGTTGGTACCACTATACTTTCATACATTCCCTTCTTTGCCTCCATAGATAGCATTTTTTGACTCCACATATACCTCAACACACCACTCACCTTTTTTCCCTCATCAATTCTATGATTAACCTCATCCTTCATAAATCCATCCGCCGACACGTCAACTCCCAAGTATCTGAAAACATTCACTTCTTCCATACTCCTCCTCCCCAATTTGATATCCAATTTTTCTTTATCTAAATCATTTGATACCCTCATCACCTTACTCTTTTCTATGTTCACTTTCAACTTTCTACCTTTACACACATTCCCAAACTCATATCCACTAACCTTTGCAATTTTTCTTTAGAATCTCCCATAAGCACAGTATCATCAGCAAAAAGTAACTGTGTCAATTCCCATTTTGAATTTGATTCCCCATAATTTAATCCCACCCCTCTCCCAAACACCCTAGCATTTACTTCTTTTACAACCCCATCTATAAATATATTAAACAACCATGGTGACATTACACATCCCTGTCTAAGACCTACTTTTACCGGGAAGTATTCTCCCTCTCTTCTACACACCCTAACCTGAGCCTCACTATCCTCATAAAATGTATGGTAGAATTATTATTGGCAGAGTTAGCAGTAAAACAGAAAATAGGGATGCAGGAGAGTAGGGAGGATTTAGGAAGGATAGGGGATGTGTAGACTAAGTATTTATATTGAAGCATTTAAGTAAACATTACTTAAATAAGGGAAAAAAACTGTTTGTAGCATTTATGTATTTAGAAGAGCCATATACTGTAATATGGTGAATAAGGGAGCAGTGTGTCAGATGTTGCAAATGTATGGAATAAATAGTAGGTTATTAAAAGCAGTAAAGAGGTGGAAAGTGAGCTTAGGTAAAAGTAGACCTTAGCCAGGAATGCATGATGTCATCATGGTTGTTTAGCATTTATGTAGATGGGGTGTTAAAACTGAATAGGGAGACCTGTTGGGGAGAAGTGCAGGACTCGAAAATGAATTGTATGCCAAGTGGGTGTTGTTACAGTTTTGTAGTCTTCTAGGGAGGTTCCTTGACTCCAGTGAAAGGTTCTTGATCCAAGGAATTAGACCTGCCCTTCCCTTCCTTTAGAACAAACCTGAATGCTTCCCATTTCTGCAAACACAGCATGATCCCTATAGTTTACTGCACTCTCTTCTACCTTATGAATGTAATAATAATAGTCTCAGTTGCTCTTTGCTGATAACACAGTACTTTTGGGAGATTCTGAAGAGAAGCTGCAGACAATAGTGGATGAATTTGAGAAGGTGTGTAAAATATGGAAATTAAAAGAAGATGTACAAAAGAGCAAAATAACGAGAGTAACAATAAGTTTAGGAATAAAAGATTAGATATCAGATTGGAGGGAGTGTGCAGGAATTCAGTGTATTTAGATGTCTGAGAGTGGACTTGTTGGCAGATACATCTGTGAAAGATGAGGTAGACCACAGAAAATATGAGGGAAAAAATGTAGGTGGTATGTTAAAGCATCTGTGGAAAGCAAGAAGTTTGTTTATGAAGGCAAAAAGGGAAATATTGCAGAGTGTAGTGGTACCCACACTTTTATATAAATGTGAGGCAGTGGAGATGTCTTATATGAGAGTGTACAAAGAATTTAGAACATAGAAATTAGAAGATTCTGTAATGTGGGATTACCATAGGAGGGGGGTTGCTTGGCCATTTAAAGAGGATGGAACAGAATAGAATGACCAAGAGTGTGTATAAATTTTGAGATGGAAGGAACAGAGGGTTAGGGGTCATCCTTGGAAGGGTTGGAAGGAAGGGCATTGGAGGTTTTGAGTGCAGGTTTGTGCTAACATGTTAGATCAGGATAAGAGGAGAAAAGTAGTTTTTATAGCTTGATATATTGTTGAATCCCTTTATGTGAGCAAGGTAAGAAAGGGATTCAAAGAATTCAGTTAACTGAAATTAAATCCTGAAGGTGTGAAGTACAGTACCTGCACTCTGAAGGAAAGGTGAGGGTGTTGCAATTGAAAAGATCACCTGAACCTTAAAATCTGTAGACTTCTGCAAGATAGTTATTGAGGGAATGATGGTGAATGTGTTTCCTTTTTATGGTAACCCTGCCTTGGTGGGAGAATGACAATTTAATAAAAGAATATGCAGAACCATACAGGTATTGCCATGAAAATAAAAAAAATATTTTGTGGCAAGGACATCTCTGTATTCATCTTCAAATTAAAAAATATCTTGTTTATACAGTAGTTAACCCTGGAAGGGATTGATACATTATACCTTACAATTCTATCCAATTCCTTCCCTTAACCCTTTGACT